AATTCTGGGTAGAGCTGACCAATTCTATTGAATTTTTCAAGGAATCAGCCAGTGGTTTCATTGATCTGTTCTATTGTTTTTGTAGTTTCTAATGTCATTTATTTCTGCTCTAATCTTTATTATTTCCTTCCTCCTGCTGGTATGGGGTTCTGTTTTTTCTTTTCCTGTCTCCTTTAGGTGGAAGGTTAGGTTGTTTGAGATTTTTCTTGCTTTTAGGTTTGTATTGATATAAACTTCCCTCTTAGAACCACTTTTGCTGCATCCCAATGGTTTTGGCTCATTGCGTTTTCATTTTCATTTGTTTCCATGTACTTTTTTTCCTGGTTGACCCATTCACTGTTTAGTAGAATATTATTTAACCTCCACGTATTTGAGTTCTTCCCATATTTTGGTTATAGTTGACTTCTAGTTTCAGTGTTGTGGTCAGAAAAGATGTGTGATATGACTTCGAACTTCTTGAATTTGTTGAGACTTGTTTTGTGCGCTAATATGAGATTTATTCTGGAGAATGTTCCATGTACACTTGAAAGAATGTAAATTCTGCTGTTTTAGGATGGAATGTTCTGAATCTGTTAAATCCATCTGTTCCTGTATGTCATTCAAAGCCATTTTTTCCCTGTTGATTTTCTGTTTAGACGACCTCTCCATTGTAAGTGGGGTGTTAAAATCCCCTACTATTATTGTATTATTATCGATTAGTTCCTTTATATTTGTTATTTTTTTTTATATTTAGGTGCTCTTATAGGAAGTTTTAATAACCTCGGTGAAAGATCACAGCAGCTATTAAGACTTTAGTGTAATTCCTTCTAGTCTTTTCCTGTGCATTTTAGTGGATGTATAATTAATGTAATTGGGATTAAAATATGTGTACAGTTCAGTACCATGCTTATATGTAAAGTTAAAATCTTTCATGTAATGTAATTTAAAATTCTCATAAAATTCTCATAAAAGGTAACAGTTCTGTATCTAACAAATATTTTTCTTCATTTCTTATATCCTTAAATTTATTTAAGTGTTAAATGATATATAGAAACTTTGAATAAAAAATTTGAGAAAATTATAACAATTGAAATCATCAAATATAAAGAAATGTTTAAATAAATCATCTTTAGATGCTGAAATACTGTGCAATTAAAAACAATACCTAAAAATTAAATTTAACATATGAGATAATGCTTATATAATGGAAAGTACAAAAAACAATAAGACTATATATACCAAATATTCTCATCTATATAAAATATATATCTAAAACACTGGAAGGAAATATATACAAATATTATTTCTGGATGGTGAGATTATGGGTATTTTTCTGTTGCATTCTGCATTCTTCAAATTTTCTATAGTGAATTGGAATTAATTTTATAATTTAAAAGTTTCATATTGACAAAAATTAAGAAACACATAGAATTGAAAGATATAAATTCAAATGTCTTATATGATACTAATCAGCTGTTTCTCAGATTAAATTCTCTCTTAAATATCCATTTTCTCACTTTGAAAATGAGGATAACAGTTTCATCCTCAAAGAATGACTCTGAAGATTATATACATGAGTGCGCTCAACTCAGCATAATTCCTAACATATTCAATACTTGATAAATGTTTAAACAAATAGGAAAATCTGATGGTCTGAGAATTCATATTTCAAGTAAAATGCAAACTCTCTCATGAAGACCTGATTTAAAATAAGTGAAAAATGTCATTTTTTCTTTCACTCTGTTAACTCTTATCTGCAACCCAATTCAAACTGAAGAAAAATAGATCACTCTAAAATTAATATAAAAGGCAAATCAAATTTCTACCTTCCCTCTTTGGGGTCTCTGTCTGACTAAAGTCCTCCCTAATACTGGAAAGAAATTTTCAAATTTTGCTGCAAAAAACTCTCTTCCTAAAGTTGAATGTAAATGCTGGAGAGGAATTATTTAAGCACTCATTTGTTCAAGCAGATGCTTACTGAAAAGAGATTAAAGTACAATTTCCCACAGCTGATGAGAACTTGGAAACTCATATGTGGTACTGACTCAATTTAACAGATAATTATCAACTGATCATAGATTGGGATGGAAACACTTTTAACATAATAAATATATGAAATTTTTTAAAATTATTTTTTAATTTTTTAAAAGAGATTTTATTTATTTATTTGACAGAAAGAGACACAGCGAGAGAGGGAACACAAGCAGGGGAGTGGGAGAGGGAGAAGCAGGCTCACCGTGGAGTGGGGAGCCTGATGCAGGGCTTGATCCCAGGACCCTGGGATCATGACCTGAGCTGAAGGCAAATGCTTAACAACTGAACCACCCAGGTGGCCCAATATATAAAATTTTAATAGTGGCCAAGGATTCAAGGTAACTATAGACATTGAAGACAAAAGATAAGAATTTCCTTTCACTAGAGGAATCTAAAATTACCTTATCTGCTACAGATTTTTTCCTATAATGATGAGTTTCAGATTTTGTTATGTGTGGGAGGTAGGGGAGTTATGAATGTCACTCTTGTGCCAACTACGTAATTACTGCTATATACTTTACTCATTCAGCCTCTGACTGAGGTAAATATCCTCATTTTCATGCTTTTAAAATAAAATAATAAAGTTCAAACTATTTCTCTAAGCAGCTTCATACAAATGGAAACCTGAGACACTGTGTACTTGCAACTAAACCACTGGCTTTTTAGGAAATACAACTGCAGGTGTCCCTAGCCTCAAAAGACTAAAACTCCAGATTTAGAGGACAAATAAATTATGAAATTACTGCATTATACAATATATCTTACTCTTATCAAACACTATCAAATTTTCTTTTAGGTGGAAACTTCACTCCTGATTTTAAGTATTCATTTGTAAATCTTACCTATTGGTGGTAGAGTTTTAATAACCTCATCCTTCTCTTTTGGATAGAAAAGTGACAGAGAAACATAAGTATAGATTTCATTTCAATAAATGAAAAAAAATTTACGGTGCTTTGATGTATATGATCTTGTTTCACCTGAATAATCCGATCAGACTCTTTTCCCCATTTTTAAGTGAGAACCTAAGGTTCAAAGAGGATAAATGACTTTCTGAAGGTCACCAAACTAGGAAGTACCAGAGCCATAATTTGAACACAGGTCTTTTTTCACTCTAAACAGTGTTTTTTTGGTATAAAAAAATCATCTCTTCTTTGCCACATTTTCTCTCAAGTAGGTTGTATAAATTTAAGGATTAAAGGCCAAAGCACACTGATGCTAATAACTGCACAATCATTTAAAAAACCATTCCTTATTTTCAAATATCTTTTCCCAAAAGTGACTAAAAAACAGGTTTTGTCCTCAACATGGCCAAGATGACTCACTAGGAAATTGTATTTGCATTTCATATTAAGGAATCCAGTTAGGTAATCTTTTCCCATTCTGTGTTAACAACTTTAATATAATCAGAGATGACTAAAAGAAATAAATATTTTGTCTTTATAGAAAGTATAATTGTAACCATAATTCTATAAGCAACTCTGTAGAATGTCAGCATGGTGAAAGAGAAATGAACCAAGAGTAAAGAGATTTGCCAGGGACAAACCTTGGGTTAGTTACTTAATCATGTTGTACTTCATCTGCAAAACAGTAATGATCTATAGTATTTCTGTGAGAATTACATAAATATGTATATAATGGCAATTTGTAAGGCATCAAGCATTATATAAATGTAAGACAACAGAATTATTGATTTGCTCATGTGTTTCCTAATGCAGATAGCTATCATTATTCAATCAAATATATAGTTAAACTGACTTTAAGCTATAGAAGAGTTACTAAAAATTGTACATAAATCAAAGAAAGCAAATTTTGAACACTTTTCACTCCCACATATTACTTATAAATTAAAAATTTTTATATATTAAGAATGACTATAAAATTCTAAGTTTACTTTCTACAAATCATATATATAACCAGTCTCATTACTTATCATCTGAAGTGTATCTTTACAGGCAATGTGTCATCTCTTTTTCCAATACTGAATAACAATTTGAATTAATCTAATGTTTACAATGTAAAAGCATTCAAATACTTACTGACTCTAAAGGTGATGAGTGACTAATGTTAACTACTAATTCTCATAGAACTAAAATATAATGAATGAGATATACTTAATATAAACAATTAAAAAATTTAATCTTCCTTAAATGATAAACACTTCAAGATCTTCCCATGCTCTAAGAATTTTCATTATGTATATAAATTATTGTACAGTATTTTAATAATAATTCAGCTAAGGCTGTTAGAAAATTAATTTATAAATGTGTTTTACATAAGTTAATACATGCAATCATTTTATTTTCCATATTTTTCATATTATTTTAGATTAATTTTATCGGCCTATATAATCTCCTACAATAATTAAAATTAAACCTAGTAACATATTTAGTATTAACATTTTTATATCTTTCAAGGAAAATTGTGCAATAGAATATATAGTTATATAAGGTTTATAGCTATCTTGCTCAACTTTTACTCGATTTTCCATTTATAAATGCTTCCTCTATAGTTTACACTTCCAATTTTTCTTAGACTTGAGATCCTTAAAAAGTCTATTTTACAGTATCTCCTAACACCTATCCTGTTAAACCATACTATTTCCTTCCTTCCTCATCTCCCAATTGTTAGTTTCTTTCTCTTCAGTTTCTCTCATCATCTCCTTAAGAGATAATTAACAAAGAATCCTTTTTATTTAATGTATTTGAACAAGGAAAAGGAAAGAAAATACATGTTGCCAAGATGTGCAGGAAAACTGATAACCTTCCAATTACTAGTCTTCCCTATTGACTAAATTCAAACAAAAATTTGGGGTCATGAGTAAAAGATAGCAAAAGTTGAACACTGAAGTATGAGTTTTTCATGGCTGACCAAAAAAGGATAATTCTGATACCTATTACTCATAGATAGTGTTTATGTCCTATACATGTTTACCTTAAAAGCATATTTATAAGCACTCATGCAATACTTTTAACAGTGACAGTACATACCAGTTGACATATTGAATCCAAAGCTTTAAGGAAAAAATAAAAAAGAAAAGCTCTATGAGAAATTTCTAACTATGTAACTATCATATAGAAATATTTCAGATTTTGCATTTTTTTAAAAAAGACTTTTTAGATGAGAAAAGCAGGAATTACCAAGAATTTCCTGGTGATTTTCTCAATTCTTCATTTGTAATTATACCAAACTTCTTAATTCTCATATTAAGCCTCTGAAAATGAATAAAATATTTTATAAGCTTAAGAAACTGTAGTAACATTGGAAATAAAACATAACTAAAGATTACAACATACCTAGTAATAATTCTCAGGAAAAAACAACAGATAAAATAATTAAGAACAATATTTAGAACCTCAGATATCTATATAATTTGTGGAGAATAAATAGTAAACAAAGATAAGATTTTAAGAGACAAAGATAAATATAATCTCCTAGGCTTCAAAGAAACATAAAAGATGGAAATTTGCCTTACCAGATATTAAAATTTCTTACATAGCAATAATTATAAAAAGTTGGTTCTGATCACAAAATAGAATCAACAATGCTAATAACAAAACTTAACAATAATAATTCATTTATTGGGCATATACTATGAATCAATGTGTTAAGTGGTATATATGTTTTATTTATGTTTACATTTGATTTAATGACTATTTAGCTCTTGCAAAAAATTTATCATCTCCATTTTATAGATAAAGAAAAGTGCAGAAGTTAAGGGCATAGAGCTAATATACTTGAATGCATAATAATTTAGCATATGATCAAGGCACCATTTCAAGGTAAACATGAATTATTTATTAAGTTCGAGAGACAACTGGCTAACATATAAAAAAAAGATATTCACGTCACTTCTCATACCAAATGAATTTCCATAGTTAAAGATTTTCATTAAAAATTTAAAAGGACCAATTTGAGAAACAAGACAGAGGATCACAGAGGAAGGGAGGGAAAGATGAAACAAGATGAAACCAAAGAGGGAGACAAACAATAAAAGACTCTTAATCTCAGGAAACAAACTGAGGGTTGCTGGAGTGGTGGGGGGGTGGGAGGGATGGGGTGGCTGGGTGATGGGCACTGGGGAGGGTATGTGCTATGGTGAGCGCTATGAATTGTGTAAGACTGATGAATCACAGACCTGTACCCCTGAAACAAATAATACATTATATGTTAATTAAAAAAAAAAAAAACTTAAAAGGACCAAGGGGCGCTTGGGTGGCTCAGTTGGTTAAGTGTCTGACTTCGGCTCAGGTGATGATCTCAAAGTCCTAGGATCTTCCATCAGGCTCCCTGCTCAGCGGGGAGTCTGCTTGTCCCTCTCCCTCTGCCCTCCCCCTGCTCATGTTCTCTTCCTCAAATAAATAAAATCTTAAAAAAAAACTTTTAAAGTACCAGAAGAAAACGATAACATACATTTATATAATTTTGAATTGTGATTATCTGCATTAGGATACCAAGAAAAAAAACACTAAAAGGCCTCTAATATATTTGATTACATAAAACCCAAAACATCTACGTGGTAAAATACACTACCACCAAGTTAAATACACATAATAAACTGATAATATTTTTTTCAACATACAGAAGAAAGTTTTACTCTCTCCAACATAGGAGTTGTACAAATAATAAAACTACTGATACTCTAAATAGAAAAAGAAACTGGTAAAAAACAGAAGAGGGCATTCACAAGAGAAGAAACAGAATGCTCAATTAACATATGAAAATATTTTAATCTTCACTAGTAATCAATAAAATGTATACTAAAATAATATCAAAGTATATTGCTTGCCTGATGAGCAAAAATAACTGGTATTGGCAAAGGTGTGGTAAAATCTCCACTGACAATTATTGCTGATGTGAGAGTTAACTACCTCCATCTTTTCTGCAGGTAAATGTGGTGATGAGTAAAACATCTTTTTAAAAAAGTTACATTCTTAGATGTAAAAATTTCACATCTTATGAATTTATCCTAAGCAAATAAACAAATAGGCATGTATTTTTGTAAAAATGTTTGTGGGCTGCATTGTTTATAATGGAGCAAAATAACTAGAAGCAAATAAAAATCCAACAATTCGATACTGTTTAAATAAGTTCAAGGAAATCCATATGATATACTAGGCTATGATTAAAATGGTGACACAAGGGCGCCTGGATGGCTCAGTTGGTTAAGCAACTGCCTTCGGCTCAGGTCATGATCCTGGAGTCCCGGGATCGAGTCCCGCATCGGGTTCCCTGCTCAGCAGGGAGTCTGTTTCTCCCTCTGACCCTCTTCCCTCTCATGCTCTCTCTCATGCTCTCTCTCTGAAATAAATAAATAAAATCTTTAAAAAAAATGGTGACACAAATCTATAGATACTGATATGAAAAGATGTTCATGATTATTGATAAGGAAAGCAAGATGTAGACCACCATGTTTAATACTATCCTAATTTCATGAATACTGTATATGTAGACTAAAAGACTAAAATACCAGAAATTAGGTCTGGATAGGAATTTAGATAACCTTTTTCCTTGTTTTGAATTTTCCACTTTTTCTAAAATAAATAGCAACCCTTACACAAATAAATTAATTGAAAAAACAAATAGGAGGTAAAAAGTAGAGAAGCAAATATAGATAACGCTTTTATGATAACAGGTTATAAAGGAGAGAGAATGAAGGTGATAGCCAAGGGGCTAATATATGAATAAAAAACAGAGATAGTAGATTCACAGATACCAGGGGTGAGAAGGGCAACAGCCAAAGGAAAACACATACAGCTTGAACCATAGAAAAATATTTCAAAATTATTACAGAAACAGGTTTGAATCCATGGTCAAAGACCCTTGAACAAATTATGGATCAAAAAAAGTGGAAGCAAAAAACCATGTATTATCCCATTTCTGACAATACAGTCACCAGTGATCTCAATGAAAATGATGTGGTAGCTTAGGAAACATGTGAGTTAATATTTTCCAAGAATCTATATGAAGGACAGCAGTGAACATAAAACAGAATGATTAAGCTAATACATGTGAAAGTACTTTGTAAACTGCTCAGATTTACAGCAATGATATTACTAATCTTAAAAACTGAGTCAATGAATTTATCTCAGAATGAAAACTGGCTTATGAAAACTGTTGAGGCAATGTAAGCAGCTTTTTAGCTATTTTTAGAGCAAGAAGATGAACCAAAAAGGTCTGTTTCAAATGATATGTAACTCTGAGGAAAGTGACATAGACAAAACAACATAGATCAGCTTCTACTCTGCTTCCTTTTCCTTGCCATATTAAAAAAAAAAACAATTAAATTGGAAAAGGTAGATCAAATATGCAAAACTGACATTGCAGATATGTAGATACATTACAGATTCCTACAAATTCTTTGAATTAAAGGTCTCCAAGTAAAACTCAGATCATTCTGACATGAAATATATGTGATAATAAAACACTGGCAGTTCAGCCAGATCCTTAAACCTTCAGAAGCAGGGTTTTATATATACATAAGCCCCAGTTCTCGACAAAGAAAAATCAATAAATGAGATTATCTAGAACTAATGTAGCTTTCATGTTCGTGGGTACATGGGCACACTGAATCATGACCTAATTGAGAAGAATATCCAAATTTCTTGGAACACTACATGACTTAGGTCTAAAGGGAAGTCTCCATTCCTTGCAGCTAGAAATAAAGTACTCTAAAGAAGCTAGACAGACATGAAGAAAATGAGGAAAAGCAGCTGAAATCTGTTCTTCCTCTACCAGCAGTTAAAATGTTTCCCAAAAGTAAAAGTACTATATGATGCACATCACTCTGCAGTTAAACAAAGCTAAGGTATGTACCTGACCTCAGCTAGAAAGTGGTCAATACTCCATTCCCATCAGCTCCTATTTTTACTTCCTCCTATCCTGTTTAATCCCATGTCTATCCCATTCTATTAATGATTTTCTCTCTTCTGCACCTTTACCCATTCTTCTCTATGCCTCTTTCCTAATATATAAACATGTTTATTATTATTTTTTTTACAACTTTAAAACAAAAATTCTCACTTGGCTTCATATCCCACTTTGGCTAACACACTCTCTCTCCTCGTTATATTATGCTTTATGTTTACACCTTCTTTCTTTTCTCAGGAACTTTTCTCAACCCACTATAAGATAGCTATTCTTTTTGCTCTACTTAAAGTGCTCTTGCTAAATTCCCCAATGATCTCTAAACTACTAAAACTAAAGGATATTTTGCAATCCTTGTCTTATTGACCTCTCTTAAGCATTTAATACTGACTTTCTCCCCTCCTTCCTGAAATTATCATTTCCTTTGGCTTCTAAGACCACTGCTGCTTATCTCCCCTGCCTCTGCAACATCTCTTTGGCTGCCTCTTCTCAATCTTTATGGGCTGATCCTGTTCCTTAAAATATTAGTGCTGGTCAGGAGTCCATTCTTATTTTCTAAATAAATATATAAATACACACAATTCTAAATTTTCTTCCTCTCCATATGCTCTTTGAATAACTTATCTACACTAGAGTTCATTTTCAGCTCTATCCTCTGTTCCAAGCCATATATATGGCTTACTAAATATCTCAATGCAGATGTCTCTAGGTGCTTCAGGGGGATAAAACCAAAACAAAAACAGAGGATAACTTTCAAATTAGTAAAAAACAAACAAACAAAAACCTTCCACTGGAACCAGAAGTAAAAACATCCATAATCACAGTGAAAGATTTTAACATCCTCTTTCAGTATTCAATAACAGAGAAACAAAAAAAAGTTCATGCATGTTTGTATTAACAACACAATTAATGAGCTTGATCTGATCTAATGAAAGGGTGTGTTTATGTGTGTGTAAATCTGCACTCAACAAATGGATACTCTTCAAGAACATTTACAACAGATTTATTTTATAAAGCTGTAATAATTAAAAACGGTGTATTAAGTCTGAGACAAACTAATGAAACAGAATAAGGAAATCAAAAATCAGTGGAGGAAGGATGTACCTCAATAACAATAAATATTATTAGGATAACTGAAAACTGATAATCTATATGAAAAAAAAATTTGAATATATGCAAAATAAATTCTAGATGAATTAAGTCCTTGAGTGTAACAATGCTGAACTTTATCTGAACCCTGTGTTCCCTGAAAGGAGTGGTAGTTGAAAAATCCCATCACTTTTTGTGTTCCCAGAACTGAGTAACTACAAAAGACCACTCTGCTCTAACAAGCTCTATCTACTCCTAGATATGACCCACTTCTACCCTTCCCCAGTGATTATAACTTCCTTGTTTACCTGCCTTTATAAAATTCAAGTCCCCTTCTTTTGAGATGTTCCTAATGATTGCTGTCACTATTGCAATACCTTCGATGAAATCATCTTAATTGTGGGTACCTCTGACAAGTATGAAAAGCAAAGTGAAAACACTGTTAAAAGAAAATGTGAGAGAAAATCTTGATAACACTGGGGTAGGTAAGAATTTCTTGACTAAGATGGATAAACTTCAATAGCACTGTTCAAGTGAAAAAAAGTTTTTCAACAGAAAAAACCTTCATTTATATATTTATATAAAACTTAAAAAATGTGTGTGTATGTGTGTGTAATTAAGGATCCAAACCTATGTGATAAAAATTTAAACTATGGACAAAAATTATACATATCAACTTTAGAATAGTTACTATCTATTGTGAGAGAGGGAGGTGAATAGCATGGGAGAGGGGGAAAGTTTTGTTGGCTATATATCTTCTTTTAAAAATGATTTACAACAAAGTTTCAAATAACTTGGGAATTTTGTTAAAACACAGATTGCGATTCAATAGGATTGGGACTGGCGATGGCGCTGAGATTCTGCATTTCTAATAAACTCCCAGATGCTGTTAATGCTGCTGGGCCATGGACCACACTTTAGATCCTTGAATTTAAAGAAAATATGGCTAAATTCATTAAACCTAGGTGGTGAGTATAAAAGAGTCTATTATTTTCTGGTATGTTTGAATTAGTTCATAAATAAATATAAAGTTGAAGAGAATTTCTATCAGCCTCATTGAGGTGCCACCACGCAATAGTAAATAATCCCTCTCTCAACTGTATATACATATAGCTTAAGGCTGTTCTCATTTTGTGATACATACAATATTATTTACAAATATACAAACACATGAAAATAAGGAAATCACTTGGGATTCTAAAAAAATGTCAGGACAGTAGCATAAATTCTTATTAAATTATTTTACTAATCTAATAAAATTACTTATTAATAAAATCATTAATAAATTATTAATAATTCGTGGTAAAGTTATACTTTTTGTCATTTAGTCCCTAAAAGTTGACAAATTTCTTAGTTAATTTAATCCTAACCTCTTCATCTGTCATTGATGAGATACTCCTGAGGGACACTTTTTGAGGCATTCTTACACTATAAAAAAATGGAATGTAGTAGCATTAATTAGATTAACATTTAGAATAAAATAATTCAGATTAATATCTACAATAACATAAGTAAAGTAAGTCACAAAAAAGAGAAAAAACTCTGCTTCATGAATGGGTACTTTCTGTATTTGAAGAAACGGATTTAGGAAGTTTACAACAATTGATGAAGACAATCATTAAGCATAGAATAAAAGGTCTCTGAAGGCCAGAGCTTTGGTGTGGCTAGTTCTCTGCTATTTCGTCAGCATCTAAAACACTCCTGGTATATAAAAGCCCTTGACAAATAACTGTCAAATAAATAAATTTCATTTAGTGTTCCAATGTATCAGGATATTGTAAAGGCTATAAAGATAAAAACAAAATATAGCCTTGCCCTTCAGGTGTCAAAATCTAGTGGGGATGACAGACAGAATTAATTTATATCTTATATATTATAAAATCATATATGTAATAAATAATATTGACATATTTAAAAATCTATATATTTTTAGACAGTAGAAAGAAGTATGGTCATGTGAAAAAGGAGGAAAGATATGTATTCAGAGAGAGGAACTATATATAAAGATGTGTATAATGTGAAATAGGTGAGGTGGCAAGGATGGTAAAATATGTACAAGATGCTATGAAAAAACATTAAGAAGAGAACGCTCAATTTGCTCAGGGGGATCAAGAGTTAATTCTCAAGAATTAAATTATTTTTGAGTCTTGCAGGATAAATCAAAGTTTGATGGGTGGCCATGGACTGACTTGGGGTAGAGCAGGAGGGATTAGGTTATTGGGAGACAGATATTTGAGAAAGAGGAATGTATAGAAAAGCAGGAAAATCAAGGTTTATTTTAGAAAACTTCAAGCAATTTAGCATGTCAAGATTTGGGGTAGAAGAGAAAAAATGATTGGAAATGATGCTGAAAAGGTATACTGAGGTCAGACTATTAAGTGCTTGATACATCATGCTAAGAAATTTGATTTATAACAATGATTATAAGCAAGAAGAGTGATTTGGTTAGATTTATATTTGAGAAAGATTTTTGGTTGCAACAGGAAATATGAAGTGGGTAGGACTAGAGAAAAAGAGAGGTCTTTCAATATGGTTGAGGCCAAAAGTAATTAGAGCTCGCGCTAAGGAAATAGTTTTGATGAGTGAGAAGAGATTCAAGAGCTTTCAGGAAGTGAACTGACAAGATGATCAGGGAGATGTTGAAATGGCTCCCATATTCCTGCCTTGGGAGACTGGGTGCCGTGTGCAACAGTGATTATAAGTATACAGATGCATGTGTGCTAAAAGCATATGCATAAGGCAGAAAGAAGATGGGAACAGAGAAGCACGTCAGCACACGGGAAAGATGGGGAAGGCAACATATAAAGTGTAATACATATAATGAGTATGTGAGAGAAAAGATGGAAGCAGATGGAAAAATATGTTTGTGGGGAATGTTGTTTTTTTTTTTTAAGCAGTCCTAATTTTCAAGTCACCTAAAACCTATACTTCAGTCAATGTCTAGTTCTCTAAATGAGTTAACATATATAAAGGGCTTAGAATAGTATCTAGTAAATAGTAAGTTTTGAATGAATTCTAACTATTTTATTATTACCCTGAACCACTGGAGACCTTTAGTCCCTACTCTCACTTTTCTACTCAATTCTGAGTTCCAAAGAAGATTTGGTAAAATCTCTGGGATAAATATAACTTTCAAATTCTTCAACACTGTCACCCAATTAAAGCATTTTGTTGAAATAAAGATGGTCTGTTTATTCAAAACAAGGAGAAGCTGGAATAAGAGCTCTCATTAATTGTCCAGATTTGCCCCAGGAAATATATAAAACTTGACCACCCCAAGTAGGTATTACAGTGACAGCGGTTTCAGATCTGCCTTAGAAAGATACTTTATGTCTTTGAGAGTTGATGCAATCTGTTTCTAAAATGGAGTTACAAGTAAGAGAAGAATTTGAGAAGAAAAGGATAAAGAAATTCAATAAATTTCCAGAATTACTTGAGTTGGACCTTCAAAATGTTTTTTTTCTTTCCCTTGAAGAATTAGAAATAATCAGACCAAAATGTCCATATACTACAGCAAATTTCAAAGAAAATATAAATTATTTTAACTACATAGGAGCTTTCATTAGCTTAGTAGAAAATTAACTGTAAATTCATAGTATCAAATTACTATCAGCATCTAATTACTCTAAGATACTGTCATGATGAGTAACTTACCAAAAATGATATACATTTGTTATACTTAGATGTACAGTGACAAACTAAGCATTTTTAAAATACTTTGTTTAAGGGGCGCCTGGGTGGCTCAGATGGTTAAGCGTCTGCCTTCGGCTCAGGTCATGATCCCAGGGTCCTGGGGTCGAGTCCCGCATCAGGCTCCCTGCTGCTTGGGAGCCTGCTTTTCCCTCTGCCTCTCTCTCTCTCTCTCTCTCTCTCTGTCTCTCATGAATAAATAAATAAAATCTTTAAAAAAATATAAAAATAAAAATAAAATACTTTGTTTAAAAAAAAACAAAACAGAGAAAGGAAGGAAGGAAGCAAAGCAAGCAAGCAGGTAGGTGTAGGGCAGGTGGGCAAAAAAATAAAATGCTTTGTTTTTTAACTGTAATATCTCTTAAGAAATAGGTGAAAAAAGATAAGAGATGTGAACTAATATTCACTGAGTATCTACTATGTCCTAGGTATTGTACTAGTTGCTTTACATTTTCCCTCATTTTGTCTTTACAAAACTTGGCAAAGTAAATATTATCCCCATACAACACAGAGGTGGCACATAGAAGTTAACAGTCTATCATAACAGAGCTTGTAATGGTTAAAGCTGGAATTTAAACCTGAAGCTTTCCAACTCCAATGCCTATAGTCTTACAGCATGTAAGACTGTACTACTGACTCTTAAATATAGGACATATATGTCTTATATTTGAATAAAAGTTATAAATTCTAAAGAAATTTGTATATTTCACTGACATATCATGTGCTTCTTTTGAACTACCATCTTCACTTATAGTTTCTGTTTCTTCCTCCTTTGGGGAAAAGAAAAATGTAATATTAGGACCAGTCTTAACATGTGTATGAGAATAGGTAGTTTTCCCCCAAAATGTATATCCCTAAATTGCCTGAAATTCAATAATTAAGAGACGAATTTCAGAGCAACTAAATCCAAATATCCTAGTCATTCACATAATAGTTTTTCCCCCTTTATGATAGAATATATCTTTTTATCATTTACATTGATATAAATCCCTTTCAATCTAATTTGTTTTAACACTTGGCCAAGATCAACCAAATTAAGAAAAAAGGAGTATAACCTGTGGATGGGAAAGAAAGAACAACCAAGAGGTTACCTGGAAATATTTAGGCCCCTATGGAATGTAGGGGAAAGTATACATACAGCAATAAGGACATGGAACCCACAAAGTCTACAGAGAAGGATAACAATAAATATACATTTTCTCCCAAGGCAAAACGTCAAAATATTTGCTGTTATGAAAATTAAGACAAATTAAATAAATTTAAAGCATCTTTTTGTCCATGTGCACCATAAACTCAACATTCTTGTTAAGTATGGTTTGATCATCATCCAAAGTCACTAATGAACACATTTTACTGGCAAATATTAGAATGGAAAAATGGAAAATAAAAATACATGCTTTAAAATTTACTTTGAATTTAAGTTTAGAACTCCTATATTTTTTTATACCTCAAGAATGTCAAATTCTTCTTCAAGCTCTTCTAAAGAAGCTTCTTCTTCTTCTATGTTGAATGAACAAAATGAAAATGAGATGACTAAAACACTTAGACATAACATAAATGGAATTTTAGCAGTGTGATTTTTTCAACTAACCTTCCTTACTCCTTCCAATTAATTTTCAAAATGTTTTAAACTAATATTCTTAATGCACAGTTCTGATTATGTTACTTTCCTGCTTAAAAACTTTTGGCTGCTCTTACTAAAGTTGAAAATCTTTAGCCTGATACTCAGGGCCCTTCAAAATTTGTTTCCAAAAGAATTTCTAATCTTATTTCCTGTGACCCTCCTTTGGATGAGGAGTAAGAGTATTGGTTAGTCAATATTTGCAGATTTGGAATTAAAGGGAAAGAGTGCTAAATAAAATGCTATCATTCAAATATACAGATAATTATAGATTGCCTTCTGGGTTAGGCACCATGCTAGGTGATAAAGATAAGCAGAGGTAAAACTATATATAAGAATGATTACAGTACTTAGTGACTTTAATACTAAATATACTAAGCACTGAATGATGACAAACATAAGAGCTAGAGTTTACGGTTTACTTCACTGTTTAAAAAAAAAAAAATAGAAAGATGTCCAGGCATAGGTCAGAGTCCTATAAGCTATGAGTGAGAAGAAGAAAATGAGGGAAGAACTTTCGTGGTGACCAAACATGGGTTCCCTCCAAACCTAGGGCTTCTTTCCTTTCTTCCATATTGACTCTGGCTGTTGCTCTCCACCCAGAGAGCATTTTCATCTTGTCTTTTCTGTATTCTTTCATATTCTTTTACTATTTAATTTTAATGTCTTCTATGTTAATGGTTTTGATCTCATTTTATTTGTTTTTAATTGTAATCCACTGCAAATCCTTTTTGGAAATAAACAGTGATCAAGTCACATTTTCTTTACTGTTTCAATTTTTTTTCCTTCAAAAAACAAACCAATTAAAAATGTATCTGAACAGACATTTTTCCAAAGAAGACATACATATGCTCACATGTACATGAAAAGATGCTCAACATCATTAATCATCAGGCAAATGCATATAAAAACCACAATGAGATATCACCTCATACCTGTTAGAATGGCTATTGTCAAAAAGACAAGAAATAACAAGCATAGGCAAGGATGTGGAGAAAAGGGAATCCTTGTGCACTGTTCATGGGAATGTAAATTGGTAAAACCACTATGTAAAACAGTACAGAATTTCCTCAAGAAATTAAAAACAGAACTACCATATGACTACCATATGGCCCAGCAATCCCTCTTCTGGGTATTTATCAAAAAAAAAAACACAACAAAACACTAATTTGAAAAGATATATGCACCCCCATGTTCACTGTAGCATTATTTACAATAGCCAAAATACAGAAACAACCTGTCTGTTGGTGAATGGATAAAAAAAAATTTGTGGTATACACACACACACACACACACACACACACACACATATACACATACACATATATACACACATACAATAGAATATTATTTAACCATAAAAAACATTTGTGACATTTGCCATTTGTGACATGGGTGGACCAGAGGGTATGACGTGAAATAAGTCATTCTCTCATCTCTTAAATGTGGAATCTAAAACACAAACTGATAGACAGAGATTGCAAATTGGTGGTTATAGAGGCTGGAGGTGGGAGGGGATGGGTGTACTGTGCTTTTTAAGTTTAAATAAATTGCATAAAAATTATTTTTAAAAGTACACTCAACATTATATAACCTATGATGAAAGAATGTGAAAATATTTCATTAAAAATGGTTAAGTATGAAAAAAGCAAACAAAAAACATGCAAGAAACTTTAGAAACAAAACAAAACAAGAAAAATTCCCAGCCCCCACAGCCCAGCTGTACAATATTCCTCATGAAGCTGATCACCCTTGCTGATGTGATTTGCATTTACTCTGAACCTCCCTGCATTTTTCTTCCTCTCATTCAACACTGACTCTAACAGGGTTATTTGTAGATTATTCTCTTAATAGACAAAATCTTCCTGAAGGCAGAAATTACGTTTTATTAAATTTGAATCCCTCTGTGTCTTGAATTCCCCAAGGTTTTGATAGATGTCTGGTAAAAACAGAGTGAATAAATTTGAGTAAGTTTTAAAATGTCACTAAAATCATTCTTTATGAAAGAGGTAAAGCCCAGAGGAGATTGCTCTTAAGAAACTATTATGGGGAACAATATCTAGACAAATCATAGCATGAATCAAAGATAAAAGAAAAGTTAATATTCAGTAAAAATTATTAATCTCTTTCTCACTCATAGTTTGGTCCCATGGATGATAGGTGACAACATGGGCAGGTAAGAATGGAAAATTCTAGTGATTATGTGGAAGAACTGAAAATCAGATCTTCAAATAATCCTCAAAAGTAATATTATCTCCAATCTCAAAGACATAGTCATAAAACAACTTAAATATAAATTATTTTTAAAATATAAATTATTGGGGCGCCTGGGTGGCTCAGTTGGTTAAGCGACTGCCTTCGGCTCAGGTCATGATCCCGGAGTCCCGGGATCGAGTCCCACATCGGGCTCCCTGCTCGGCAGGGAGTCTGCTCCTCCCTCTGATCCTCTTCCCTCTCGTGCTCTCTATCTCTCATTCTCTCTCTCTCAAATAAATAAATAAAATCTTTAAAAAAATAAATAAATAAATAAAATATAAATTATTTAATGCTAGAACATTTTCATTAGAAGAAGATAAAATGTGGGGCGCCTGGGTGGCTTAGTTGGTTAGTTGTCCAACTCTTGATTTGGGCTCAGGTCATCATTTCAGCTCGGGTCATGATCTCAAGATCATGGGATTGATCCCCAAATTGGGCTCTTCACTCAGTGGAGAGTCTGCTTCTCTCCCTTTTCTTTTGCCCCTCTCCCTGCTCATGCACACTTTCTCTAAAATAAATAAATAAATCTTTAAAAAATGGAAAAAAGAAAGAAAAGGAAAATGCTTGATATTTCATAAATAAATTTATATTAAAAAAGACTACATTTTTGTATGAAAATTTCAGATGCATTTGCAACTCCTATACTGATCATTTTCTCAATGAACAACATGACATTTTAGTAATAAACCTTCTCAAATTGGCATAATGTAAGTGTTCTGTTTGTCTATCTCTGTATAATAAACCACATCAAAACTTAGTGGTTTAACAATTTATCTTTCATGGTTCTGGGGGTTGATGAGCTCAGCTGGGCAGTTCTCACTGTAAGTATTTCATATAATTGTAACAGATGGCAACTAAAGCTAGAGTCATCTGAAGGCATCTTCCCTTACTATCTGGCACCCGAGCTTAGGATGGCTGAACAACTAGAAATAGGCAGTCAAGCATCTCTCTCCACCTGGCTAGCTTGTGCGTTCTTGTAAGAGACTCAAGGTAGAATGACTTCTTATGAAGTGGACTGACTTCCTCAGAGAAACTATTTCAAGAGAGCCAGGAGGAAAGCTTCAAAGCTTCTAGGATTTCATCTTCGAAGGCATATAGTGTCACTTCTGTTATAATCTAATGGTCAAAGTAATCATAAGCTAGCCCAGATTTAAGGAAGTAGAGGAATAGTCTCCACCTCTTAATGGGGGGAATGGCTTGTGGGTACAAGAAGGTAAGAATTGATGGTGGCCATTTCAGAGCCAGCTATCTCAGTAACATTCTTGAGAATATATAAATCCAACTTCTTCTTTTTTTTAAGATTTACTTATTAATTTTTAGAGAGAGAGAGAGAGACAGTGCATGCAGGGGAAGGGGCATGAGGAGAGGGAGAAAAACAGACTTCCTGCTGAGCAGAGCCCAAGGCAGGGCTTCAGGGCTCCATCTCAAGATCCTGAGATCATGACCTGAGCAGAAATCAAAAGCCAGAGGCTCAACTGACTGAGCCACACAGGCACCCCTAAATCCAACTTCTTAAATAAAGAATGGCTGTCCCATAAGAAAACCTAAATCTAACTTCCCAGTGAAAATTGAGAATGGAGAAACATAAACAGATTCATAGTTCTGATTATTTGATTTTCAGTATACGTTTATATTAAAAATGTATCTGTATTCTGTTTCAAGAACCTAGCATTTGGCCAAAGGATTATGTGTACTCTTGTTAACCCAGTGTGGTTCCTGAACCAGCAGAAATGTTGGAAATGCAGAATATCAGATCCTGCCCCAAAACTATTGAATCAGGCATGTATTTTAGCAAGATGCCCAACACATTCATATGCACATTAAAGCTTTGGGAAGTGCTGACTTGGACCATATTCATACACTAGTATACACAGGGTATCCTTACACTTCTCATCTGAAGAAACCTAGAAAACATGAAGTATCCTTCTTCCAACTTTGGAGCAGAGAAGTATTGTACATTTAACTTTGGTTTTAAGTGGAAAAAATAGCTAAAACTTGACTGCCCCTATAAAATCTTTGACAAGTTAGAAACTACATGTGTGGAGTGGAAATCTTGTTTTTATCTGGGACATCAAGGATTATCACTATGTATGTGGGAAAATGTTTGATCTGTGACATTTTTTTTTTATATAAGTAGGGAAGCTAAGGAGACAGACCCAAAAAGGTGCAAAGAACTTCAAAATAGATAATAAGTACCTTATGTACATTTAGCTAGTTATATATAAAGTCACATGGAAATGTTTTTTGCTATTATTAGTGAATTACTTAAAATATATTTTTGGGCAGGACAACATCACAGTCTTGCAAGTTAACTTGCTGTTATTTACCAATGTCTTCAGATTAAATGAAAGCAAATTTAAAACCAAAAATGTCCTTTTTAAATAAATAAAATTAACTTTTGAGAACATACCATTTTCTTCCCAAAATATGTTCAATCCATTCACAATCTCTTGCTTGTTTCTTCTTAACTCATCACTCATTTCTATGATCTTAATTATAAAACATAAAACACCTACAAGAAAGTTCTTAAAAATCAAATCAGTTCAACATTAAAGATAATTTTTAATTTGCCAGCCATTACTTTGTCTTGCTAGGAAATATATTTGAATACTGAAGTCCTTTATAAATAAAACTATTTCATTTAAGGAACAGCTAGAAACTTTAGGTTGGTTTCAAAAAGGCCCCAGATACAAGCCTAGATTACAACTTAAAACACCTGATTTAATAATTTTCTAAAAAGAGATTGAATGATTTTCCTAGTCTGTGAGATACTCAAAAGAATTAGCTGCAATTACATTGACTTCTTAGTAAAGAAAGGAAAGGCAAATCACCATAAATTAGCCAAATGAGGAGAGACCTCTTTTCCACTTTAATTCTATTATGGCATCATCTCAGAGATGAGGGCCTCAATACCTGTCAAACAGACTCTCTTCATTACTACAGAGCCTTTATCTCTTTCCATTTGGATCACTTACACTGTCTGAATTCTTAAGTAGCTTGCTAACTTGTTCTGCTTTTAACTTGGCTACAGTCTTCTGAACCTTACTGTGAACTTCCCTGCTTAAAAATTTAATGAAGGGGGGAAATCGGAGCGGGAGACGAACCATGAGAGACTATGGACTCTGAGAAACAAACTGGGG